AGGCATAACTGTTACAGTAAAATAAGTCAGTTGCGTATCCTTTACAGTACGTTGCAGAACCAACCACAACATTCTTTGGCTGTTGTGGTTTTCTAGGCACACTTTACGTTCAGTACTTTGCCACTGCTTTCTGAAAGATCAGCCCCCCGTGTGGGTTCCGGGGCCCTATTGTGGGGAAAACAAGAATAGACCCACTGCCTCCCCAAAAGCATGTCGTAAGAGTCGACTAACTGGGGAGCTTCCTTTGAAGTCGGAGTGCATCTGCCTGAGAGGCAAGGAACCAGCAGTCTACATTCAATTGAATCAGATCTGTAAAACTGATGCACACGCAACACTCAGGTTCTGGAGCAGGACTGCAGTCCAGAAGTGGACGAACAACTAGAACTTTACGCCAGAGTGTACAGCTGGTGAATGCGAAGAAGAAGAAGAAAGATCAGCTCTCGGTAACACTGTTGAAAGCATCGCAAGACAAACCATCCGCAGCTGGGATAGAACCTGGCACCCCATCTTTACGAAATGCATTCGCAACGCCTAACCCACAGACGTCAACTAATTGTTACAGACCGGATACCACAAATAAGTGAGCTGACCAATGCCTAAGCCACAGACGTCCACTAATTGTTATAGACCGGATACCACAAATAAGTGAGCTGAACAATGCCTAAGTCACAGACGTCCACTAATTGTTACACAGCGGATACCACAAATAAGTGAGCTGAACAATGCCTAAGCCACAAATGTCCACTAATTGTTACAGAGCGGATACCACAAATAAGTGAGCTGACCAAGGCCTAAGCCACAGACGTCCACTAATTGTTACAGACCAGATACCACAAATAAGTGAGCTGACCAATGCCTAAGAAGCTCAATCTTAGTCGAGGTTTTAACTTCCTTGCCAACCCCATACTTGCTTTATTCCTGTGCCAGTGCAAATTAAATGAAATATCCCTCAGTCCTATTTGAAAAATTGGCGAATGAACAATAAGTCCCGGCACAATCCAGAAATACATGTAGGCAGTAAATGCATATGGCAGTTGCTAGAGATGCCAAGGCCAACAGTTGCCATCAGAAATACAATGGCAAATAAGTGAATGTAAACAATACCTAGTAAAACCACCAACCAGCAGCAAATACTGGTTTTGCTCTGCAGCAACCTCTGAAGGATATGCAATTAACTTTACTCATTAGTAGAGACTTTTTTTCAAAAATGATCCTGGTTCCCATGTTAACCTAGCTTAAAGTGGGTACCAGGTAAAGTCCTGGAAAGACAAGGTGGCCGGCATGATGTTGACCATATAACACACACTAAGTGCTGATTTTGATCAAATATAGGTCTAGCTGTCTATGCCCAATACGCCCGGAGGCAATGGAATCGGTCCTTTACTTCAAAAAAAAAAAAAGAGATAAGTATATCAGCATAGTTTGAAGGTGCACAGCTGGATATAGTGTATATGCTTTTATGTACAGACAGTGCAAACACAATTATAGTGTGAATTTCTGTGTGTAAAAGAGCATATGTTCATTTCCCCACTAAGTTTCTAGTTTTTTTCATATTCACTACCATTTTTCGTGTATAATTTCCTAGATTCCAGTGCCTACCCCCTCCCCTTTCCGAAATAATGTTCACAGACCATGGGCCTGTTTGGTTTGCAGCAAAACAATCCTCTTGTTTTGTCAGCTGCTGAACAGGACCCTGAACCAAACATGTCCTTTATCATCTGTATGTGTTACTGTCTTTCAACCTTTTCGACCCAGTAACCAAGGGAAAAAAAAAAAAAAACCAATGACCCATAATTCAGGAACTCCCCCCCCCCCCCCCCCAATCCTGTAAGGGCAACCATTTTACATAGGTTACAAAAAATATATATCTATATATAAATGAAACAATGAGAAGGGTAAACAGTAAACACACGTGAGCAGACAATTAATCAGGTTACATGTTTCTAAGCCCAACATTTGTTTCAATGTCATGACTTCTGATGACTTGTGACCTGATCTACAGGTTACCACTATGACTTATGGGAAATTATGATCTCATAAATCTCTATAATCCTATTGGACGTAAACTTGCCTAGAAAAACCACAAACAACCAACAAATGCTGGGGTTGGTTCTGCAACGTCCTGTAAAGGATAAGCAACTAACTTTTAATCTCTATAATCAGGACTACTTTCTTCACAAGGATCTCTTCCCTCCCCCCATTCACAGCTATCTTAAATGTGTGCTCGGGTGCAAACAGAAATAATCTGTTAGCTAGGTTTTTTGGTTGCCAAGCCACTACACTACAGCAATTCAGTAAAGCGACATTTACAATAGCTTGGGCTCAACAAGAAGTGTCGGGTTTTTGGCTCCCCAGCAAACAGGGTTAAGTTTGTCAGTAATTCACATGCTTGAAATACAAGATGGTGATAAAGACGCCAGTTACTTCACAATGCCATGGACAAATATCCCTACAAACATAATGAGAGCAATCTTTTACAATCATATACATAAAACGTAATTATCTTTTCTAATAAACACACAAATTCTACATACAATGCAAATCTCCAAAGTGCTTGACTAAGCTGGTCGAGTGTTCCTGCACCATCGAGAGATAAATTACAGGAGAACAATTTTGATAGCACCATCTTCTTAAAGCCTGATGTATTTAATACTTATTTTTCAACCAGCGTCTAACAGGAGTCTATTTCAGACATCCTGGAGTGGAAGTTCTGTTACACTAGATTGAATGTGATAGTCTAGTTCAAGTGTGACCTTTCCAGAAAGGTTGAAAAACACTGTGACTGATCCAGCAAACTGACAGTGGCTTACTTAGTACTTACTGACAAATCGCATGAATTGCTCACTGTTCAACACAATATTCTCACTAATGCTCTGCTCTCAGTGTCAAAACATGGAAACTGTCTTCAGAAGACAGAGGAAAAATAGTCGCGACAGAAATGACATTTTTACACATTACGCTAAGTGTAACAACGAAAGACATACACTGGAGCAATGGTATCATGAGGAGAGCCGACAGACAACCAATACTGAACTTTATCGGTAGACACCATATCAAATGGTTTGGCCATGCAACAAGACTGGCAACCATAGGGCACCACAGTGAGTAACATTATACAAATACAGCTGTAACAGAGCCAGAGGTCGACCACATAGAAGACAGCCCACTCAAACATCGGAAACACTGAACTGAAAAGTACTACATACGAAGTGAGCAGAAGGGCCTGTTCAAGAGATCTCTTCCTGCCCTGACGCTGCGAGGAATTCCAGAAGCAGAGAAAAGAAGAGAAAAGAAGTATTTTACATGTCTGGACATGATTCAGTCACAAGGCTGCTATAAATTTCTCAACATGGGACCCCTCAGTCCCAGATTTGTTACAAGCTAGTGAGCTTAATAACTGGGACATATAATGTCCCCCGTCTTTGACATGCACACTGTTTGCTAATCAATAAAGAGACTAACTGTATTACGGCTGAGACAAAAACGCCACTAAAGAAGCAATGCATTTCAACCAAACAGGCATCATTCATCTAAGAATGCTTGGTCAGTAGACGATAAATACCACTTCATTTTGTACTAGTGACAGCTGCTTTGTTGCATATGCTGCATGGATGATGGAGCCAAGAGTGAACATTAAATTATGTTTCAAACTTGAGACAGGTGAATTGATGATACACAATTAAGGAGATCAATGTTTCTTTTGTGCACAGATATTCGTGGTATTCACAATTAAAATCTGGCGTGGAAAAGACTGAAAATAAAGCCATGTTGATATATCTGATTTATGTTCATAATGATACTATTATTTCCATAGTCAGAGGACAGATACTCAAAGACCTTACAGCTCGCAAAAGTTTTATTGAAGAGGGTTTGCAGTCTTTTTGGCATAAAGTGCCTTCTCTCAACCATATTACCCAGATTCATCACCTTGTTTCTCCTTGATGACATTAATGACACCAAAATATCAATTAGTTTCCCCTTCAGTCTGCTATCTAAAGGTTACCACCATGAGACAACAATTTTCAATCTGGACGGCAGACCAAAAGGGTAAATCCCAGATACCTACCAACTTCAGCCTTTAAGGAAGTTATAATTATGGCACCAGTCCATGACACCTGCAGTCCAGTGCACGTATGGCTGACACCAACATAACCAGTAATAAAAGGGCCCTAGTCAAGGGCCCTTTTCATCCCAGTGGAGCATTAGGCGAATGAAGCTAGACTCCTTTTTTCTGTAGCTCAACCAGCTCTCCATGGGTAGCATGATCAAAACTGTGCTGGCCTCCTTTACTTCCCAGGACTTTACCTGGTACCCAAGGTTGTGTTTGAAAAGAATCCAACTCTGTGCAGATTCGAACCTAAGATCTGTGGCTGGCAGGCGGGGCAGCTACATAAGGGCCTTAAGTCAAGAAAACTTGCAGATGTTCCAGAATTTGTTAGAACATGTATCAAGACAAAAAAGATGTTTGCCTGCGGATCAGAAGGTTGTGGATTCAGGTGCTGTAGGAGCCAGACTTTTTCAAAATGACTCCCAGGCTGACCTAGCCTTCAGCGGGTATCAGGTACAGTCCTGGGAAGTAAAGGCAGCCAGCACAATGCTGACCAAATCACACACCAAGTGCCAATTGGTCCACAAAATTTAAGTCTTGTGCTCATGATATTTCTGCAACGTGGCTCTCTGTGGCAGTTGGTACCACAGCATTCTTGTCAAACGGCTACACAATTTCAGTTTTAGTTATCTCATGTTTTTAATTTGATCTCACCTTATTTTTCGTGCAGCCTTCTTAAGATATCTCATGCGTGTTATGATTTCTTTGCTCAATAACTGTAGTAATGGTTCATATTCAGAACAGGCAGTGAAATATGATATAACATAACATCTGTAAACATAGACTAATGTACATGGACTATCAAAGACAGGATATTGCAGAGTTGTCGAACCGGCTTTGTGGTCTTTCAGCATCCACTATAACACAGTCATCATCCAAGTTATTGGCGTACTTCATCTCTACAATGCTGGAACTGTGCAGGACAGTACCGTCACCAGCCATGGATTCTGTGTCTTGCACTGCTACTACCACAACATCTGGTGTGTAACCATCAGCTGAGGATGCTGGTATCTCCTGAGCAGGTAGATGGACATTTTTAGAATGCAGTTTGGCAGATTTATCTGCATCATGAGGCATTACCGAATCTGTTGATTGTGAATGTGGTGAGACAAAGACTATGTCTTTGTTACTTTGCATGGAGTAAGATTTCTCCTGTGTGTTGTCTGTCGGGAGTAACGGAAGCAGGCTGACCTCGGTGCCCTGCTGGTGGATGGCCGAAGGCTCAGAAAAAGATCTGGTTGGTGAGGAGTGTGGGTTGAGGTTCTGCTGCAAAGACGAGCTGTGAGGTTGATGATATGCTCTCTGAGAAGGATCTCCTGCTGGGGGATAATGTAATGGAGATGGACTTTGAAAAGGGGATTTTGGTGGTGGACTGCATACAGATGCAAGTGGATGAGAATTAGAGGCATGGTACGGCGAGGCTGCAGCCGGACTTTGAACAACTGCTGAAGTGTGAGGGCTTGGTATGGGCGAAGTAAAAGCTGGGTGACTGCTGGGTCCTACACTCCCTCCAATAGCAATACCTGGAGCTGTACTTCCTTCAGGAATGACATAAACATGGACCATACTTCCAGAGGCAGTCTCCTCTTGTACCAGCAGAACCTGCATCCCAGCAGGGTTTCCATGGATGCCGAGCTGTGGTGCAATTTGAGGCACCATGTGGGATGGTATCAGAACTCCCTGGACTGGGTTCTGAACACCCTCCATCTCAATCTGAACCTGGGTGGATCCAGGGATTGCCTGGATGACCTTGCTGCTAGAACTGAGGTTAGGATCTGCACTGGGTGTGATGGCTGGTTGCTGCATTGTCCTCTTCTCGGGGCTCTCTCTGGAGTATGTCTTGGAGGGTTTGGCAGTCATTCTTGGGTTATCTAAGTCCACAAAATCTTCAAACTTAGGAACCTGCTCTGCTCTGCTTTCTTGAGTGTTCTGATCTGATAGTTTTGATTTCTTATGATTGATGGTCTCCATCTTGACCTTTGACTTCTTTGTAGCAACAGGAGATTCTGTTGACTGCACACTGACAGTTTCCACGTTTTGATTTTCTTCATCTTCCCTAAAGCAGAAAAAAAAAAATGCCATTATAGTCCTTTCTGGGGTGCAAACGTAATAAGGATACCATCTTTAGAGTGAAAGAAAGAGTGCCAGATAGAGTGACAAGAGGGAGAGGGAAGGTGGGGGCAAAGAGAGAGAGAGAGAGAGAGAGAGAGAGAGAGAGAAAGAAAGAGAGATAAACAGACAACTGGATTCATACTTTTATCAGCTTTAGTAACAACTGCTTAGAAACTTAGCTAAAATAAAGAGTTACAAAGTAAAGGATAATTCTTTTTACACCGTGGCACATTGGGTATTTGATGCTAGACTCATATTTTTCACAGACCCATCAACAATAAGTAGGTGATGTCATTAATTAGTATTAAGCCAGCAACCTTTGCCCTCCGGACAACTGGTACCCATTTTAGGCTGGGCTGACCTGAGAGCCAAGGTAAGTTATAAAAAAAATAAATTAGACTCAATGCTAACTCAAAAACAACGTGTTGGCAGGGAAACATCTCCCCACTACTATGCTACCACAGCTCTCAACCTAAACTTAAAACTACTTCAATTTAAAAAAAATTTATTAAAAATTATTATAAAAATACAAGTCAATTCAAATAAATCATCTTAAAGTGGGCTTACTAGCTGGTATAAGTGATAACTCTCATTCTCTAGTGCATGAATCAGTTCACAAGCTGACAGGCTTCCATGCTATAAAACAAGACTACATGCATCACTTAGTCTTTCCTGTTGCCCCGAGATGACCAAATCCGGTCATTTCCAGCTGTGACACAGTGTTGTAAATGCAGATAAATCTGCATGTCTGCAGTGACCTGTTCTAAAAAAAAACATGGCTATTTCCCGCTGGTTCTATGCATGCTTGCGCAGTGTTTAATATGCTGGGGTACGAATACAGTAACAAATCATTTCTGCTGCTCTCATGCCCTGGTCCAAGAATGTTGTGCTTTTTTTCTCCCAGCTCTTCTGTCTTAGCCTTTCCCCAACTCATAACTTATTCATATCTAATGTTCATCATAGTACATGCCAGTGAAATTTTAACAAACCAGTAAAGTAGAAGTAAAGTAAAGGACCCATTTCCACCCCTTTCAGGCGTTTTGGGTAAATAGGGCTAGACCTATATTTTATAGACCAAATGGCACTTGGTGGATGATGTGGTCAGCATCACGCCCGCTGCCTTTACTTTCCAGAAGCCAAGGCCGTTTTTGAAAAAAATAAATCCAGCTCCCGTAAAGAACCGAACCCACGACCTTCTGACCCGCAGGCGAACATCTAGCTGCTAGACCACAGCGCCTCTGTCAACATACCAGTAGTATCAACAAGAGGCACTAAAATAGGAATTTGAAACGAGAAAGCGGATCAGAGAGGCCAAAGATGCTGGTCTGGATTCCATCTATGATAACAAGGCGACTGCCTAAGACAGAACAGAATGAAGAAGACACAGACTGTGAACCCTATGTGAAATATAATGGCACAACAGGACAGGGAACAAATGACTGTGCCGCTGCTTTATCATTCATAAAGCTTACACAGGGGTCTAAACCACACAAAATGGCCTGCTACCCATTGTCCGAAGCTAGCTTCAAACACTTGATACACTGGGGGATGAAAATGCATTCATGTCGTGTACAGTAAGAAAAGCTAAGCAGACAAGGACAGTAACTCTACATAACCCACTTAGAATTATGACATGGAAATAGAAAACTTACTCATCGTACTCCTGGCCCCAGTCGTCCTCTTCATCCTCAGACTCTTTAATCTTCTCTGTAAAAAAAAAAATTAATAATAAATAAATTGCTTAAAATCTCACATAATTTATTTGTAAATAATTTCACCATATTTTTAAGAAAAAAATATTATAAATAACAATCAACCTAAAAGTTTGAAAGCTTTTTACGTTCTTCTAAATAACTTTTTAAAAACTATTAGTTAGTAGTAGTTTAAAGGGGGGCGTTCAAAGAGAGGATCGACTTCACTGTTCCAGGTTTTATCCCACATGGCTCAGTCTTACGCCTCTCTCTGCAGAACTGCTAGCCGCCTGCTGAGAGCGCAGCACACAGCACACACTCACAAGCTCCAGTGACGATCCCCAGAAATCTCCGTAAAAATTGCACCCACGAACTGAAGGGTGCAGCTAAGAAACGAACCCACGACCACAGCGTGAGGCAAACGGCTTGACCACTTCGCCACGGAGACCCCCGGTTATTTGTATCAATGTAAACTGTTTCCACTCTATGTGGTTTTCGCTGTTATGTGAATTACGCATTTACAGGATGATCTGTCTGCCAGGAAGCTGAAACTGCAACTAAACATCAACAACATCTCAATATCTTTCTCCATCACCGTCTATATTACTTCTTTACTGGTTTTCAAAGTAGTGTTTCACCAAGAAATAAAAGTAAAAAAAAAGTTAAGGGCATGTAGGGGTAGACCTACATTTTTATGGACCAATCAGCACAAGACGGGTGATGTGGTCAGCATCACACCAGCCGCCCCTACTTCCCAGGACAGCACCCGGTACCCACTCAAGGCTGGGTCGACCTAGGAGCCAAGGTCATTTTTGAAAATAGTTCAGCTCCGCCAGGGAGCGAACCCACGACCTGCGATCCGCGGCGAACGTCCAGCTGCTCCGCCACGGCGACTTTCTTCACCAAGAAATAGTCCGTGTTTACCAAGAAACAGTATGTTTTTACCAAGAAACAGTCGTGTTCACCATTACAAAATTAGGCTCTATATAACAAACAACGCTCTGACTTGCTAGACATCTAAGAAAGATATAACTGCAATACTGACTTTTCCTTCCTCTCTTCTGTTTTGGTTTTTCAGCTTTCTTGTCAACTGAAGGTTCCTTTTTCGGTCGTTTTGTCGCCTGCTTCTTCACCTTCTTCTCATCTTCTACAGACATTTTCTGGAAGGGTGTTAAGTCATACTGCTGACGATTCGCTGGAGGAAGAGAACAGTTTCATATAAATAAGACTCATCTGTAATATGGCATTAAATTATTATTCACCACCCAACATGCTTGTAAATAAAATAAAATAAAAATGGTATGCTTTGTGGCATAGTGGGTAAATTTTGCCAGATTTACATTTATTAAAGATCAATCAGTAGTCAACAGGATCATAAATGATATCAGGAAACAAGTTGATATGGAACCAATGCTAATCTTCATCAAATCAAATGCGTCAGACATGCTTCAAGACTATTACCGATGCAAGCGATGGAGAGATGATAAATATGAGACCATAGAGGCCTGGCATTCAGGTAGCTCACAAGGCTAAAGCTAGATTACTCTTTAAAACATGACCTTTCAGGCAGATGCAAGACTTCGAAAGATGCCCCCAATGAGTTAACATCTATGACATGTTTGATGGACAGGCAGTAGGTCCGTTCTTGTTTTCTCAGAACCCACACAGGAAATTAAGCTGTATAGGAATGCACACAGTAACTTTCTGTGTGGGTTCTAGTGCCCAAAGTAGAGAGGGAGGGGTCAGATCCACTTTCCCCTAACAAAGATGTGTAAAAGGCGGCTAATTAGAGGTTTGCTTCTCCCAGCACCTTTGACCTCTCTCATGATTTGTTTAGGTTTTTTTTTAAAGACATCCTCTCTTCCACAACCCCTATATTTTCAATTTAAGTATCTTCCACAACCCCTATATTTTCAATTTTTGTATCTGTTTGGACTTCTGTTTTCAAAATGGCGGACAGCAGCTGTGTTTATTGTCGCTGGCTGTCAATTCTCTCGGATTATCCTGTTCTATAATCATGGACTGCTATTTTATGTGCATTTCCAACGCAGGATATTATGTGTTTTTCGTGGGAACAGCGTGTATTGTGGTTGTGCTGTGTCGGGGCGGGATAATGAATGATAGTTTTGGCAGCCTCGGCCACGCTGCCTTCGCAATGTTTTGATCGCGGCGGCCCACTCGGGAAGACAGAATCTCGTCAGCAGGGGACTGCAACTGTCTAGAGAGCAAACTCGATAAAAGCTGTCCCCAGAAACGGAATGTGTCAACCATATATTTGGTGGGGAGGAATCGACACATACGGTTAACTCAATGGCCATGGCCGTATCTGTTTAGTTAATCTCTGCTGGTTCTTCAACAAAAATTGTTGCTTAATTTATCATCAGATTTTAATTGAGGCAAACAGCTACCTAAATGTAGGATTAGGTGCAGACAAGCAGATGTGCAACAAAGATAGGTAACCCACATACTTCTGGTCTTTGCCACCGGCAGAGTGAGGACTAATGGTTTCCTGGGCTTAACTTCAATTCATTTAATAATGAACAAGTTTAAGGCACAATTCACATGTGGCTGAGGGAATACTCTACAATCCACACAAAGTAAAATATTTGGTTGACAAAACAATACTTACATAATGCTTTATCAATGAGTTCTCTGTTTCTTCGTTCCTCTCTGTAGAATTTATTCTGAAATGTAAACAATTATATATGATCATCAGAATGCACACAAATAAATACAAGATTACAGGCTTTTCACAGATTCTCATGTGTACACACACAGGCCAACAACAATACAAGTATCCACCGATCCAAATTTTGAAACACCCGGCTATCCCAATAGAGAGAAAAAGTGCAATCTTCAAACCAACTTGTGCTTTTATTGTCGGACATTGCCTGAAGAGCATGAAGAGATCTGACCACCAGCAATACGAAATGTTTGAGAAAGGTCCCCCCCCCCAAAAAAAAAACTAGGAGAGATCATCTGAGAAACAAAAAAATCACAAAAACTATTCGAACAACACCTATAATTAAATTAGTTAATAAAAAGACTAAAATAGTTTAACTTTTTTAAATGAAAATGAATCCAATAATGAGAGCCCACAACAAGAAAGTTGAAACACCAAGACATCGGGGAAGACTAAGAAGAATATGGACGTCAGTGATATCTTGAGACTTTAAATCATCAAGCATACAGGGCATGCTCTAGCGCGGTTATCGATCATCTATTAATCTGCGACTCCATGCGACACACAGCAGTACATGGATAAAAGAAGAAGAAGAATCAAAGTGGCACGTTTGAATCCAACTGAAAATTATATTTTCAGAGATACCAAATGATCTTATTCTGCCCTGACCTCTAATTGTGGACTGGTGCCATTTTGTTTTTCATAAGGGTGTGAAATACAATTTGTGCACATGTTGAAATCTCTCAAAAGTTGGACACTGTACAGAGTAAAGTATGCAGGTCACTATTCTGGCAATAAATTAATTTAAAAAAAAAACACATCATCATCACAGGCACCACCAAGCCTTACAGGTGACCACACTCCTCCACAAACATGTCCTATGAGCTTCTGATTTACCTGACTCGTTTGCCTTTCATTCCACAAAAGAACATTTACAGAACAATTATAAGAACAGGTAATCACCACCAAAGTGAGGTCAAAAATAGAGAAATAATATCTCAACACAGCAGAAAGCAAACACTGCCAATCTACCATGAACCCCTATCACACACTGCCAATCTACCATGGACCCCTATCAAACACTGCCAATCTACCATGGACCCCTATCACACACTGCCAATCTACCATGGACCCCTATCACACACTGCCAATCTACCATGGACCCCTATCAAACACTGCCAATCTACCATGGACCCCTATCAAACACTGCCAATCTACCATGGACCCCTATCAAACACTGCCAATCTACCATGGACCCCTATCACACACTGCCAATCTACCATGGACCCCTATCACACACTGCCAATCTACCATGGACCCCTATCACACACTGCCAATCTACCATGGACCCCTATCATACACTGCCAATCTACCATGGACCCCTATCAAACACTGCCAATCTACCATGGACCCCTATCACACACTGCCAATCTACCATGGACCCCTATCACACACTGCCAATCTACCATGGACCCCTATCACACACTGCCAATCTACCATGGACCCCTATCATACACTGCCAATCTACCATGGACCCCTATCAAACACTGCCAATCTACCATGGACCCCTATCACACACTGCCAATCTACCATGGACCCCTATCACACACTGCCAATCTACCATGGATCCCTATCACACACTGCCAATCTACCATGGATCCCTATGCTGCATAACCATTTCGCCTCATAAAAATCTGAAAACATGACATTTCACCAAATTGTTTCAAAACACTACATTCTTATAATTCTCTGAAACTACTCAAAAAAAAAAAAAAAAAAAAAAAAAAAAAAAAAAAAAAAAAAAAAAAAAAAAAAAAAAAAAAAAAAAGAAGCAGCAGCAGAAGAAATCTGGAGACTTGTCAGTTTTTATAAAACTTCACAGCGAGAACCGGGAACCACTGAAAAGCAATGAATAAGTTAAAAATAAATAAATTTAAAAACAAACAAAAATGTTGAAAGAAAATCAACATCCTCCTTATGTGGGTTCCCGGGCCCCATTTTGAGGAAAAGAAAGGCAGACACAGGGTCCTTCAGGCATTTAATAAAAGGTGACATATTAGGGTGACCCACTTGCAGTCAGAGTGTATCTGCCTGAAAGGCAAGGATCCAATAGCCTGCATACAAAGAAGACCAATCTGTAAAATGGAAGTGCATGCAAAACTCAAGTTCTGGAACTAGACTCAAATGCAGAAATAGATCAACAACCAGAACTTTCAGTCATAATTTACAGCCGGTAAATGCAAAAATAGATCAACAACCAGAACTTTCAGTGATAATTTACAGCCGGTAAATGCAGAAATAGATCAACAACCAGAACTTTCAGTCATAATTTACAGCCGGTAAATGCAGAAATAGATCAACAACCAGAACTTTCAGTGATAATTTACAGCCGGTAAATACAGAAATCCTAGACTTCGCCGACGACATAGCACTCCTGAGTTCAGAACACACAGACGCCCAAGAAAAAATCAATCGACTCCAAAATTTCTCAGAACAAATTGGACTCCAAATTAACACCGCAAAAACAAAAATTCTAGACCTTACCAACAGTTCAGTTGATATCACGCTGAACAATAACAGCCTTGAAAAAGTCAACAGTTTCACTTATCTAGGGAGCAAGATGTCATCTACAGGAGATACCGCACCAGAAATACCATTTAGAATAGCACTGGCATCTAGTGCCTTCCATTAACTGTCCAACATCTGGAAATCAAAGACACTTAGCAAACACACAAAACTCAAGATCTTCAATTCTTGTGTGATTTCAGTACTAACCTATGGATGCGAGAGCTGGAAATCAACGAAAACTCTAGACACAAAATTAGACAGTTTTGAAAATAAATGCCTTAGAAGAATACTAAATTTCAAATGGTCAGATTTCCGAACCAATACACAAATAAGGCAAGAATCCAGGCAAGAGTATGTGTCTAATTTTATACGAAAACGCCGCTGGAACTATGTCGGCCACGCCCTTAGAATGGATAAATCAAGACTTCCTTACCAAATCCTCATTTGGACACCACAGGGGAAAAGATCTCGTGGAAGACCAAGAGAAACCCTACATAGAACTATCATCAGGGAAGGCTCACTCATGGGCCACTCAAACATCCAAGACCTACAACAGATTGCAACGAACCGCCATGCATGGAGAGTCATGACCTCTGCCCTATGTGCCGCACTCGACACAAGAGGAAAGACTAACTAACTAAATACAGAAATAGATCAACAACCAGAACTTTCAGTCATAATTTACAGCCAGTAAATGCAGAAATAGATCAACAACTAGAACTTTCAGTCATAATTTACAGCCAGTAAATGCTAAGAAGAAGAAAAAAAAATCTCTTTAGGAAGAACAAGATATTAAAAACAAAAAAGCAACTGAACAATCAAAATAATGCTCCATACCTTCAACTCTCGCCTGGTTCTGTTTGACAGGAGGTTGGTCAGCAGTGAGAAGTCTGTACCACACATGCTTAAACCCATGAAGAATTTCTCCGTTTCTGAAACAAACACAAATCTGTAAGCACAAAACTTGTTACATCTTGTTGAAAGTTACATCAAGACAAAGGAAGATGACTATAAAAAATTAGTTCCTCATATCTGACAAAAAAATTAGCAGAATAGGTTTTGCACACGTAAGGCAAGGGTCACTCAGCTCAGTTTACTGTGTGGTTAAATGTTTAAAACGTGGATCATCGTGGGCCAAAAGTCTAAGCCCCAGCACAGAAATATCACTGATACAATACAGCTGGCAATGATTCGCAGGCCACTTGCTAGGTCTCCATGGGCCCGATTCGACCCGCCAGCTGAACAGCCCTGCCTTAGGTACACCGACTATAAGGTACTAACCCTCTATTTTTTTTATAGATCCTTATTCTTATGCTTCTTAGCATTCACCGACTGTAAACTCCAGCAGATTCTGGTTGTTCGTCCACTTCTGGACTTTAGCCTTGTTTCAGACCTTGAGTTTTGCATGCACCTCCGTTTTACAGATCTAGATAATTTGTATGCAGACTGTTGGTTTCTCACCTTTTAGGCATATGCACTCTGACTTTGGAGGAAACATCTAATTAGTCGGCCTGTACAACATGCTTGTTAGGGAGGCAGTGGGTCTCCCCCCCCCCCCCCCCCACGAATTGGACCCTGGAGTTGGAACAAGCACCAAGTGAATTTTGTGGCTAGTCAGCTTTCGTCAGCAAATTAAATGAATAGACAGTACCACAAACCAAACAAGAATACACAGAATCACTTAACTGAAGTGTCTGGAAGGAATCACATTAGAGGAGATAACAAATTAGGCTTTTCTACTGATCAGCAACATAATCATGTAGCAGTTCCTTAAAGCCACTCTCATCACGGTCTGCCTAAAAGAAACTCAGTCTCTCGCCTTGTGCACTTTCATATTTTCAAGGAGTCACTTATATTATGTGTCAATCTTTGTGTCGGTTGGCCCCTGCCTGGTACCGTGCCTTCTGCTTTTACCTTTTCCAATCCTCCATGGCACTTTATATGACCAAAATATTACAGGCTCCGAGACAAGATGCTGTTCATCAGTTAATCTTCCTTGATGAGATCTTTTAAAAAGTCAGTATTTCTTCTTTTCTTTGTCCAGGGTATTTTGAGAATCTTTCTATAGCGTTTCACCTCGAGAGCCCACATTTTCTTTCTTAAGGCCTGGGAGATAGCCTAATGATGCTGCCTGGGCAAAATATGAAGTTACAAATCTACCCAAAATATTTAAGGATCCTCGCCGGTGCAACAGAGTTCACGCACTGCGCTTGAGATTCTTCAGACAAGGGCATGAAGCAGAACAAAGCACTTATGGGTTACACCTGTGTACCATGATATCGATCCATCGAATAAACACAAACACATCCGTATGTTGCTACAGGGAAGATGCATGCTCTCAAAATTTTAATTTAATTTCTTTGCTGTTGCTTAACTGCAGACTCTTAAAACTGACTTTTCAGTAGTAAAAACAAAAGTAGTAAAGATCGCTTTTCACACCTTCAGGCACAACGGGCATATGGAAAGAGCGCCCATATTTCTTCAGACCTTCAGCACTAGGTGGGTAATGTGGTCAGCATTATGCCGGCCGTTTCTACTTCCTCAGGGCAGCCACCCTGGTACCCATTTTAGGCTGGGTCAACCTGCGACGCCCCATACCACGATACAAATCCACACAGCCAGCAGTGGGTTTCTAGCACAGTACGTTGGAATTACGAGCCGGACTCTCAACACCTAAGTCACGGACGCCGCTGACTCATCAGTAGACAGAAAGTGTCTCAATATTTCAGGCTTTTCTTGCTTCTGACATTGATCGGAGCAAGTTAACTGCTACTCCTAATGCTTTTTTGTTCTTCCTTTGTTCACCTTTAATAGATAGTTGGCATGCTGTGTTTTAGTTAACAGATGAGCTGTGATATCTACTCCCTTTGCTACATTGAATTTCAAAAAACCTCTGATAATTAATCTTTTACGACATGCCAGTTAGAGTGCAGTAGACCGGCCCTACCTTCCCCTCACCATCAAGACTTCTACAAGGACAAGAAATAAATTAACGCTCACCTCTTTCTGTCCACTGTTTGGTTCTGTGATACTTCCTATAAGAGTTTGTGTTCAGATATCGGTCATCATCGTCATCTTCTAATACTTCTTTTGGTTTAGTATCTTCCCTCTGTGTGTTTATCAACAAACTGCAAGAGACAAATTATAATGTTAGCCAAGGACGAACTAATCAAAGAAAACTACAGGACCACAAATGATTCAACAAGCAAACTAAAAGTCTATAGGACATTGTACATTGTTCCTATGGTAACACAAAGATGTCAGTAATAGACTAGATCATAATCACTGAAATTCCAGTATCGGTTTTCTACCCTGTCATCCTGCACTCGTGTCCGAGCTTGGAAAGTGGGAAGGGGGTTTAAAGCCCTGAAGTCTCTATAAAGATGCTGGTTTAGTTTTGACATCAACTCCACCATGATATGAAAAGGCTTTCTTTACAGCTCATGCAACCTGAATGTCTGCGTGCTGGATTTAACACAGCAAAGATGCCTCAAACCTGACATTTCTATCCATTACTAATCTTCAAGAAGCCACTTCTTTGAGTCCCAAAGAAAGTATCAGGAGCTAATCGGTTACAACCCAGCGACCCAATCCGCATGTGACGAGTGAAGGTTTGCCAGAGTTTACAGCTGGTGAACATGAAGAAGAAGGAAAAGTGATTGAAAGCTATAATTATAGTATATTTTACTGAGGTTTATCGATTTACTAAGTAATTTTATCTGAAAATAATATGGCTGCCGAGCAGTTTTGTACATGCACACCAACATGATTTATGACTTCAGAAGCCTTAGATTTAAACAAAGCATATATTTATTAGATTTATCTAAAGTCAGACAGATAACCTTGCGAAACAGACTTATTATGGTCATTTATGGAGTCAAACTTTAATGCAGAATAGCTCTAATGTGCACCTCACAAGAAGGGTACAACGATAGCAAAGTCAGCTGGCACAAATAGAAAAAAACATTAATAAAAAGGCAATTTTCTTCAGTGTCAGTTAGTTCTAGTTTTATTCCTCTTATTATTTAGGAACATAGCTTCAAAATTACAGGCTAATTGAGTGTTATATAAACTTTGTTTTGTGTGAAGATACTAACTGTTTTGGGAAGTCAGTTCTCTTTACAAAATAATGGTGCTCCGTTATGATGCTTCAAAAGATTCTCTGGAACAAAATCTAATGTACAAATTGAGTTTATATTTTACTTATACATTAATAAGTGGTTCACGTTCATTTTGATTAATTCTGGATGTATTTTAACGACCCTTCCTTAAGTGCCATGGTAGTAAGTGGAAAAATTATTATTTCACTTCAACAATTTCCGTAAACATAGTCTGTATATTTACTAATATTTAATTACTAACACAGATATTTGTTGTAGGAGTATTCTAATATTATTACCCAACAATCCCTGGCCACTTTGACATATGTGTATGTTGCACGGCAGTTAGAGTTAGCATGGTCTATTTTAACGTGTTACACTTGCGAAATTTTAAAATTACATTACCACCTCTAGGGCCTCTTATGCTAAATCCCCTAGGACTTAAAGGGTTAACCAGCATTCATGAGAATGCCTCGTTACAACATCAGCTCTTTGTACAGGCAGTATATAGGCATACCAGGGTATAGTTATACTTACTGAAAACAGCAGGAAGGGGGGGGGGGGGGGGGGGGGTCCTTGCTATGACATAATAATTTTCAGACAATCTTTAGTAATTGAAGGTCATGAGGCCACAGTATGAGTAACCTTATGAATTAATTGTTTAAGCCCAAGGAACTGTAGCTGTTTAATTCTCTGCTCAATTCGTGTTTACTGAATACTTTCATTCAAAAACAACTTTTATGCATAAAACTTATCTAAAACATTTTATATTACCTGCATGTGTAAAATAGTTTTTTAAGCATCCCCCATCCCCAAGGATTTAAGGTTCATAGCTTTTTTTGCTGTAAAGGGTTTCCATGGGGCAAAAGAGATACAAAGTTAAAGTCAGTCTTCCAAAAGATTCACACTCTCCGAGCCATGTGATGCGTTATCATCACGGATGTGTAACTTTATGAACAATTGTCTGCACTGTCCAGGCATCTTTACTTCCATGAATATCTTCTTTGATGTATGTCCAATCTCTGTGGTCACTAGGTATCCATTTTTTAAAAAAAAGAGGGGGGGGGGGGGGAATACTAACCCCTCCCCTTTTCCCCACAAGAATGTATAAAAGGTTACTACTTTTTATATGAAGTCAATAAGTAAGGCCCAACTGGTTATGGGATGGCAGGAAAATGTTGCTGGTGGTTTCTGAAGGTGTCATTAGGTGACAGCAACACAGCCCCAAAAATGATGAAAATGTTGACATTTTTTGTAAAGTGTATAACTGGAAACTAAATAACTGGAAACTATATGCATTCCTGGACTAATCTGATAAGTAATTTAAAAGTGAAGTGGCATTATTTTCGAAGTATCTGCTGCTCCTTAGCAGCCATGTTTAAATATGAATATGTTGACTTTAAACAAATATATTCTACATGTGTTACCTAAAATTTGAAATAGTTATAATCTCAAACCTAAAGGAAGTTGTAAAACAAACCACTGTAAGAGGGTAGCTTACCCTCATAACATGACCTATATCTGACAATACATCTGAATGATTTGTACTTTCACTTATGTGTAAGGTTAAAAAAGTGCCTGTTTTCTTCTTCTCATCATAGTAAACAAGAAGAAGCCTAGTAGATTAGTTAGAAAGAAATTTTGAGGCAATAAACATATTGGTTCACTTGTCAGTAAGGAGAAAGTGAGTGAACAACCAATTGTCAGATTTCCTCTCAAGTCATAATTTGCACTCCCTAGAGGCCGGTGAAAATCAGTCATAATAAAATAGGTCCATTTTAGGGTTCCTATATTCTCTTATGCTAGGAATTCTTTTTATTTTTCTAACAGTGGTTAATTGGGTAATCTTGCAATTTATCCTGGAAGGAAGAGAGAGAGAGGGAGAGGGGGGGGGGGGGGGGGGAACTGAACAGATATAAGTTTGTCCAAACTACTTTAGTAATTCTGTTTTAACCACTAAATTCTCTGCAAGTGTTTCAGGGTTTCAATTTGGGGGAGGGGGGGGGGGGGGGGGGGGGGGAAGGAGGAGGAACAGATCCGCCACCTCTCAACATGTACATCATAAAAGACAACTAATCAGGAGTAATTTCTTTCAAAGTCAGAGTACATCTGCCTAAGAGATCAGGAAACAACAGTCTGCATACAAATAAGTCAGATTTATAAAATGGATATGTCAAGAAGTTGGCAACACCCGGAACTGTCCACCAGAGTTTACAATAGGTAAACGCGAAGAAGAACAATTACATGATACATTATAATCTATATCTGTGTGTTGTAAAAACACAGTTGGTTAAATACCTCTCTGTGTTTAGCACTATATTTCCATCCGGCCCAATCATAATCTGAGGTGCCGGCAAGGAGGCACTCTGATTGGTTGACTCACTATCGTCGTCTACAGCCACACTTGATGAAGGTGAAGACGACCTTGTTTCACTTTTTGGTGTAGATTTCTTTTTGCTCTTTTTTCTGAAATGCAGAACATTTGCTTATTGGTAATAATGTAATTATTTTTCTAAATGCATATTCAATGAAGTAAACTGCCAGCTTGAACCAGAACTTGACATCACAACCCATTACAGGATGTATAAGAAGACGACAGGAAATTTCATGGTTAGCTTTAGACAGGTTTTTTTTTAATAGAAGAAGAAAGGCGTCGCTATTTACCGCAAAATGACCACAAAGAGGTCAGTAGTAACCACCAGGTGCCCATACTTCAAAAACAAAACAAAACGCCACTGCATACCATTGAGTACCGCCAGAAAGAAGCTCAGGCTTCAGCAAAGCCGGCAGTCCTGATGATGTCTCATTCTATACATCTGCACTTTAAACTGCCTCTCGAAAAACCATGTTGTACAAGGCTTTTAATTAGGGATTTTCTTCCGAAGTCGGAGCACATCTGCCTGAGAAGTGAGGAACCAACAGTCTACACACAAGTAAACTAGATCTGTTAAACAGGTGTGCAAGCAGAATTCAAGTTCTGGAACAATACTTAAGTACAGAGTGGAAGAACAACCAGAACTTTCTGCTGGAAAAACTAATTTATTCTAACAAGGCTGGCTCCCTTCTTTGCTTCAATATGCTAGGTTCCAAAGCAAGGACCATATATATTCCTTACCCAATTGTTCCTGAATTATTAGCTGGAATCACAGACAGAGAATATCCGACAAAACTGTTCCAGAATTGTGAGATACAGAATGAAAATTTGACCTACAACAGTGGCTTTTCAGGTCACCAAGGCTAAATATTCCTTGCTGAATTAGGCATAGACTTTAACCAACACACAATATGTAGACTTGCTTGCATTTTGAAGCTAAAGTTTTCTATAGAATGAGGTAGCCAACCCTCCTTAGTGATTGCTTAGGACATGCACAATATGTTACAGCATTACTATTCTATCCATAACTGTTAAAAACCATACTGGAAGGAAAAGAACAGGCAAGATAACAAGAGGCAAACAAAAAAATTGGAGGCCAACATCAAGAGATGGAGGTACAGCAGTGTGAGAGTGCACTGAGAAGATAAAAGTAAACGAACATACTAACTATTTTCAAAGGGTCACAAATGGGGCATGCAGCCCCATCGTACACACGTCCCATCCAAACACTCAACTTTCACACATCAACTGTATTTTATCAATAAAGCATGCTATGCTTCTAAAACAAAATAATTATCAAGGAAAAACACAGCAGCATGGATAGTAAATGCATGTGCACTTGCACCTCAGTCACGTTTATGCATGCATATATAAATACATACATACATGCATACACAATCACACACAGAGCAAGCGTGATGGAGATCCACAGCAGCAAACTTTCACTGTGGAGGCAGCACCTTGCTGACTCTTTCCTTCCTTTACAACTCTCAAAACACAACTGAGGCAGTCAGATTTAATCAGACAATAATTCTTACGGGAAAAAGTTCTGCGATGGGTTCCAAAGTAAAAGGTCACCCATCTTCAACTTCTGCCTGTCAGGAGACTTCTCTCTGCTGGGCAGCGGTTCCACTCTAGGCTTCTTGCTCTGAAATGGGTACAAGTATTTACAATTAAAACAGACAAGTAACAACAAACAAAAATATGAAAGCAAAGTGACAACATATCAGATCAGATGTATAAGCAATGCGGCCGAAGAAAAAAAAGAGAGAATCACCAACGAAGAACACAAAAAATACATGCTAGGCACAGTAACCGTAAATTATTTCACAAAACTTCAAAGAATCAAATGGTTTGGTCAACAGGTCAGAATGGAGAAAAATCAGCCAGCAGCTACAACGTTTTATATGAGGCTACAAGGCAAGAGGTCGACCCTGTGGATGGAGGGAGTAAAAGAGACAACACAGAAATGTAATATGATATTAACACAAGCTACCCAATTATTAAAAGACAGGGAACCACACCTAACTCATCTCTACGACACTATATGGCATAAACACTAGGATAACAGATGAAGAAGAAAAGTCACAGGGACCAACTACAGTGACCCACAGAACAAACTACGGAACACATCACTGTCAACTACTCAACTCTACTTCTTCCAGCAAGCATAAATTTCATTAGCGTTATTTCAAAGCTATTCTCTAGCATTTAATTTAGTTGAAATATTTCAATTTCCAAGAGAAAACCCTGGGTATAAGCCAATTTTCTTCAATGTCCAAATGTAGAATGTTATTATTTTTCTTCTTGATCTAGAATATTCTAAGACTTGCCTGTAATTTCAACAACACAGATTTTCTTCTTTATCAACTTCAAAATTATACTTCCTATAGTTCAAGCTTAGTGGTATTGGTAATGCGGCTCAGTTTTCTTCTCATGTACTGTCCCTAACCTGTGGGTTCTAGGGCCCTGTTTGGAGGGAAGAGGGGAGAGGTCTGACCCACTGCCCTCCTAACAAGCAAATCATAAAAGGTAAATAATTAGGGGTTTTCTGAAATCAAATATATTGGGTTCTTCTTCTTCACGCTCACCACGCTGTACACTCTGATGGAAAGTTCTGGTTGTTCGACCACTTCTGAACTGCAGTCCTGCTCCAGAACCTGAGTGTTGCGTGTGCATCAGTTTTACAGATCTGATTTCCTTGAATGCAGACTGTTGGTTACCTGCCTCTCAGGCAGATGAACGACTTTAAAGGAAGCTCCCTAATTAGTTGACTTTTAAGACATGTTTTTGGGTAGGCAGTGGGTCTACTCCTTTTCCCCACAATGGGGCCCCGGAACCCACACGGCGAATATATTGGGTTGAAAGGCAAAGATGCTGTAGCTAGATGTGTAAACTGTAATACAACGTACCAATCACCCTTTAAAGGGTAAATATAGAAGTAACGTCAATTATTTCTAATACAGATGTTCTTTGTTATGCCATGATGCCTAGATGACAGGCATCTCTCGTAGTCTTCCTCTATGTCTTATCCTCTCCAACATTTTTTGTGTTGTCACGATGTACTCCAGTTGACCTTCTTTGAAGAAAGAAGGTAAAAGTTCTTTTCATTAGTTAATTTACTTCAAGCCATCTTCATCAATTTACTTCATCACATTGTTATCATTCTTCTATAAAACCACAGGGGACACACTATTTCACTCAGTCGATCCGCTTCTGTACACTGAGATGGTACTGTCATGATTTGGACTCTGCGTTGGCTGCTAAAGACGCAGGTGGAGCATTTAGGGGAATGTCCTGTAGGTAAAAAAGTAAAGGACCTTTTTCCACACCTTTAGGTGCATAGGGCACAAAGGGCCAGACCTATATTTTACAAACCAGTCGGCACAAGATAGGTGATGTGGTTGACTTTGCTGCACCAGGTTTTATTCCAAACGGCTAATTTTCTCTCTGTTGGTTCTGACCTCCACTAGACAGCACGACTAGCTCCATATAGCCCTTTTATAACTTTCTCACATTAAACTGCCGGCATTGCAGAAGGTTCAAAATGGACAAATGTGACATGAGTGAATTTACCTAGGACCAGCTCACGTCAACATGAGAGGGGCAGCTAAGAGAACAGGTATATTCAGGAGACATTCTAAAGACTATTTATGAATAAATCCCAATAGAAGACACGAGGGTAGATGAAATAACGTGTGTAAGAATGTGTAAATGAGAAACTGGGTGCAATGCTGGCAAGGAAGGACGTTTAATAAGCGGAAGAGACAACATTTGTACTGCAGGAACATTTAGCATCTATACTTAAGACATTTTCTGCGGGAGACAGTGCATCTATGGGTATGCCCGGTGTGCTATGGTGACAATTCTTAAATCAGTAAAATGACATTTAAAAAAACATGAAACCAACACCGCTTTACCTTATGCCATTTGCGTTTCTTTTCAGATTTATCACCAACTTCTTTCTGCCGTTCACTATCTGGATCTAAAGACATTGCTTCAGACATGCAAGAGCTATCAGCTTCCGAAGGAGTCGCTGCCTGGCCGTCAACATCTGCCAGTTTGGCCACTTCTGCACAATTTGTGATATCTTTTGATTGTACTGCCAGGATTTCACTGTCGGTTGTAGACAACTGCCTATTCTTGTGCTGGTGACTGGAAGGGATTGTAGAGTTCATGGCCATGGCACTGGAGGACATGCTTGTGGAGCCATCACAACCGTCATCCAGTGATCCCTTGTTTGGTGTGGACGACTCCTGCCTGCTGTGTATTACACTGAGGAACAAGAACAATAATGAACAAATTGTTTGTTATTTATTTTTGTATTAAGTTAAAGCTATAATTAAAGTAGAGAGAATCAACCTCATTGCCCCAGGTTATCTCACTCGGCTCTGTGCGTCTCCGCAGAATGGCTAGCCTCTGCTGCTGAGACTGTCACACAAAGCATGAACTCTGTAACTCCAGTGATGATCACCACAGGTATCTGTAAAAGTGAATGACACACATGTAAAACGAACCCACAGCTTTAGAGCATGAAGCAAATGGTTTGACCACTTCGTCATGAAAGTTAAAGTACAATTCTAGTGGCAAGATATTCACCTGCTGCTCCAAAGGTTTAAGGTTTGGATCTGCAAAGGGGGCATTTAAAAAAAAAATTCAGTTCAACCCAGCCTAAAGTGGGTATCAGGAAATGTCTAGAGAAGTAAATACAGCAGAGTTTGGGAGCTCACCACAAAACACAACACAGTAGCTGATGCACTGAAGCCAACCATCACTGTCACAGTAGTTGACTCACTGAAGCCAACCATCACTGTCAGAGCAGCTGATGCACTGAAGCCAACCATCACTGTCAGAGTAGCTGATGCACTGAAGCCAACCATCACTGTCACAGTAGCTGACTCACTGAAGCCAACCATCACTGTCACAGTAGCTGATGCACTGAAGCCAACCATCACTGTCACAGTAGCTGACTCACTGAAGCCAACCATCACTGTCACAGTAGCTGATGCACTGAAGCCAACCATCACTGTCACAGTAGCTGATGCACTGAAGCCAACTATCACTGTCACAGTAGCTGACTCACTGAAGCCAACCATCACAGCAGCTGATGCACTGAAGCCAACCATCACTGTCACAGTAGCTGATGCACTGAAGCCAACCATCACTGTCACAGCAGCTGATGCACTGAAGCCAACCATCACTGTCAGAGCAGCTGACTCACTGAAGCCAACCTTCACTGTCACAGTAGCTGACTCACTGAAGCCAACCATCACTGTCACAGTAGCTGATGCACTGAAGCCAACCATCACTGTCACAGTAGCTGATGCCCTGAAGCCAACCATCACTGTCACAGCAGCTGATGCACTGAAGCCAACCATCACTGTCACAGTAGTTGATGCAATGAAGCCAACAATCACTGTCACAGCAGCTGATGCACTGAAGCCAACCATCACTGTCACAGTAGCTGGTGCACTGAAGCCAACCATCACTGTCACAGTAGCTGATGCACTGAAGCCAACCATCACTGTCACAGTAGCTGACTCACTGAAGCCAACCATCACAGCAGCTGATGCACTGAAGCCAACCATCACTGTCACAGCAGCTGATGCACTGAAGCCAACCATCACAGCAGCTGATGCACTGAAGCCAACCATCACTGTCACAGTAGCTGATGCACTGAAGCCAACCATCACTGTCACAGCAGCTGATGCACTGAAGCCAACCATCACTGTCAGAGCAGCTGATGCACTGAAGCCAACCATCACTGTCACAGCAGCTGATGCACTGAAGCCATCACTGTCACAGCAGCTGATGCACTGTAGCCAACCATCACTGTCACAGCAGCTGATGCACTGTAGCCAACCATCACTGTCACAGCAGCTGATGCACTGAAGCCAACCATCACTGTCACAGTAGCTGATGCCCTGAAGCCAACCATCACTGTCACAGCAGCTGATGCACTGAAGCCAACCATCACTGTCACAGTAGTTGATGCAATGAAGCCAACAATCACTGTCACAGCAGCTGATGCACTGAAGCCAACCATCACTGTCACAGTAGCTGGTGCACTGAAGCCAACCATCACTGTCACAGTAGCTGATGCACTGAAGCCAACCATCACTGTCACAGTAGCTGACTCACTGAAGCCAACCATCACAGCAGCTGATGCACTGAAGCCAACCATCACTGTCACAGCAGCTGATGCACTGAAGCCAACCATCACGGTCACAATAGCTGATGCAATGAAGCCAACCATCACTGTCACAGTAGCTGACTCACTGAAGCCAACCATCACTGTCACAGTAGCTGATGCACTGAAGCCAACCATCACTGTCACAGTAGCTGACTCACTGAAGCCAACCATCACTGTCACAGTAGCTGATGCACTGAAGCCAACCATCACTGTCACAGTAGCTGATGCACTGAAGCCAACTATCACTGTCACAGTAGCTGACTCACTGAAGCCAACCATCACAGCAGCTGATGCACTGAAGCCAACCATCACTGTCACAGTAGCTGATGCACTGAAGCCAACCATCACTGTCACAGCAGCTAATGCACTGAAGCCAACCATCACTGTCAGAGCAGCTGATGCACTGAAGCCAACCATCACTGTCACAGCAGCTGATGCACTAAAGCCATCACTGTCACAGCAGCTGATGCACTGTAGCCAACCATCACAGCAGCTGATGCACTGAAGCCAACCATCACTGTCACAGTAGCTGATGCACTGAAGCCAACCATCACTGTCAGAGTAGCTGATGCACTGAAGCCAACCATCACAGCAGCTGACGCACTGAAGCCAACCATCACTGTCAGAGTAGCTGATGCACTGAAGCCAACCATCACTGTCACAGCAGCTGACTCACTGAAGCCAACCTTCACTGTCACAGTAGCTGATGCACTGAAGCCAACCATCACTGTCACAGCAGCTGACTCACTGAAGCCAACCATCACTGTCACAGCAGCTGACTCACTGAAGCCAACCTTCACTGTCACAGTAGCTGATGCACTGAAGCCAACCATCACTGTCACAGCAGCTGATGCACTGAAGCCAACCATCACTGTCACAGTAGCTGATGCAATGAAGCCAACCATCACTGTCACAGCAGCTGATGCACTGAAGCCAACCATCACTGTCACAGTAGCTGGTGCACTGAAGCCAACCATCAATGTCACAGTAGCTGGTGCACTGAAGCCAACCATCACTGTCAAAGTAGCTGATGCACTGAAGCCAACCATCACTGTCACAGTAGCTGACTCACTGAAGCCAACCATCACAGCAGCTGATGCACTGAAGCCAACCATCACTGTCACAGTAGCTGATGCACTGAAGCCAACCATCACTGTCACAGTAGCTGACTCACTGAAGCCAACCATCACAGCAGCTGATGCACTGAAGCCAACCATCACTGTCACAGTAGCTGACTCACTGAAGCCAACCATCACTGTCACAGTAGCTGACGCACTGAAGCCAACCATCACTGTCACAGTAGCTGATGCACTAAAGCCAACTATCACTGTCACAGTAGCTGATGCACTGAAGCCAACCATCACAGCAGCTGATGCACTGAAGCCAACCATCACTGTCACAGTAGCTGATGCACTGAAGCCAACCATCACTGTCAGAGCAGCTGATGCACTGAAGCCAACCATCACTGTCACAGCAGCTGATGCACTGAAGCCATCACTGTCACAGCAGCTGATGCACTGTAGCCAACCATCACTGTCACAGCAGCTGATGCACTGAAGCCAACCATCACTGTCACAGTAGCTGATGCCCTGAAGCCAACCATCACTGTCACAGTAGCTGGTGCACTGAAGCCAACCATCACTGTCACAGTAGCTGATGCACTGAAGCCAACCATCACTGTCACAGTAGCTGACTCACTGAAGCCAACCATCACAGCAGCTGATGCACTGAAGCCAACCATCACTGTCACAGCAGCTGATGCACTGAAGCCAACCATCACTGTCACAGTAGCTGACTCACTGAAGCCAACCATCACTGTCACAGTAGCTGATGCACTGAAGCCAACCATCACTGTCACAGTAGCTGACTTACTGAAGCCAACCATCACTGTCACAGTAGCTGATGCACTGAAGCCAACCATCACTGTCACAGTAGCTGATGCACTGAAGCCAACTATCACTGTCACAGTAGCTGACTCACTGAAGCCAACCATCACAGCAGCTGATGCACTGAAGCCAACCATCACTGTCACAGTAGCTGATGCACTGAAGCCAACCATCACTGTCACAGCAGCTGATGCACTGAAGCCAACCATCACTGTCAGAGCAGCTGATGCACTGAAGCCAACCATCACTGTCACAGCAGCTGATGCACTGAAGCCATCACTGTCACAGCAGCTGATGCACTGTAGCCAACCATCACTGTCACAGCAGCTGATGCACTGAAGCCAACCATCACTGTCACAGTAGCTGATGCCCTGAAGCCAACCATCACTGTCACAGCAGCTGATGCACTGAAGCCAACCATCACTGTCACAGTAGTTGATGCACTGAAGCCAACCATCACTGTCACAGTAGCTGGTGCACTGAAGCCAACCATCACTGTCACAGTAGCTGATGCACTGAAGCCAACCATCACTGTCACAGTAGCTGACTCACTGAAGCCAACCATCACAGCAGCTGATGCACTGAAGCCAACCATCACTGTCACAGTAGCTGATGCACTGAAGCCAACCATCACTATCACAGTAGCTGACTCACTGAAGCCAACCATCACAGCAGCTGATGCACTGAAGCCAACCATCACTGTCACAGTAGCTGATGCAATGAAGCCAACCATCACTGTCACAGCAGCTGATGCACTGAAGCCAACCATCACTGTCACAGTAGCTGGTGCACTGAAGCCAACCATCACTGTCACAGTAGCTGGTGCACTGAAGCCAACCATCACTGTCACAGTAGCTGATGCACTGAAGCCAACCATCACTGTCACAGTAGCTGACTCACTGAAGCCAACCATCACAGCAGCTGATGCACTGAAGCCAACCATCACTGTCACAGTAGCTGATGCACTGAAGCCAACCATCACTATCACAGTAGCTGACTCACTGAAGCCAACCATCACAGCAGCTGATGCACTGAAGCCAACCATCACTGTCACAGTAGCTGATGCAATGAAGCCAACCATCACTGTCACAGCAGCTGATGCACTGAAGCCAACCATCACTGTCACAGTAGCTGGTGCACTGAAGCCAACCATCACTGTCACAGTAGCTGGTGCACTGAAGCCAACCATCACTGTCACAGTAGCTGACGCACTGAAGCCAACCATCACTGTCACAGTAGCTGACTCACTGAAGCCAACCATCACAGCAGCTGATGCACTGAAACCAACCATCACTGTCACAGTAGCTGACTCACTGAAGCCAACCATCACAGTAGCTGACTCACTGAAGCCAACCATCACTGTCACAGTAGCTGGTGCACTGAAGCCAACCATCACTGTCACAGTAGCTGGTGCACTGAAGCCAACCATCACTGTCACAGTAGCTGACGCACTGAAGCCAACCATCACTGTCACAGTAGCTGACTCACTGAAGCCAACCATCACAGCAGCTGATGCACTGAAACCAACCATCACTGTCACAGTAGCTGACTCACTGAAGCCAACCATCACAGTAGCTGACTCACTGAAGCCAACCATCACTGTCACAGTAGCTGACTCACTGAAGCCAACCATCACTGTCACAGTAGCTGACTCACTGAAGCCAACCATCACAGCAGCTGATGCACTGAAGCCAACCATCACTGTCACAGTAGCTGACTCACTGAAGCCAACCATCACTGTCACAGTAGCTGACTCACTGAAGCCAACCATCACTGTCACAGCAGCTGGTGCACTGAAGCCAACCATCACTGTCACAGTAGCTGATGCACTGAAGCCAACCATCACTGTCACAGCAGCTGATGCACTGAAGCCAACCATCACTGTCACAGCAGCTGATGCACTGAAGCCAACCATCACTGTCACAGTAGCTAATGCACTGAAGCCAACATTCACTGTCACAGCAGCTGGTGCACTGAAGCCAACCATCACTGTCACAGCAGCTGGTGCACTGAAGCCAACCATCACTGTCACAGCAGCTGATGCACTGAAGCCAACCATCACTGTCACAGTAGCTAATGCACTGAAGCCAACCATCACTGTCACAGTAACTGATGCACTGAAGCTAACCATCACTGTCACAGTAGCTGATGCACTGAAGCCAACCATCACTGTGACAGACAGCACATCATTTTTTAGCTTTTTGTTTACGATTCATACAGTTTATCTGCTTCAATTCTACACAGGTACTAGTTAATGATGTCTGTAGTTTGTTGAGTTTCTCAAGAGCTTTATAAATCCTATCCTGGTATAAGTGAATCATGTATAGTTGGACAATTAGTTTTAAAAAAAAAATATGGATGCAGTGAAGATGTGGGGGAAAAAAATGATTAGAATAACCTTGACATTAAAAAAAAATTAACAAAGAATACTTGAAAGAAACTGACTCATGAAATGGCCCACATGAAAAGGAGACAATCTACATTCTTTGCTCATATCACAAGAAGGGGAAAACCGGAGTAAATCATGACAGTGGGAAAGTTGGAAGGGAAAAGAGGCAGATGGCGAGCGAGAGAGAAGATGCTGGACAGTCTAACGTCATTACATAAAAGATCCTCTGAAACAGAACTGACTGAAAGTACACAAAACAGAAGGCTGTGGATAGACATGACTACCAATGTCACACTGCTTTGACTATAAGAAGTTTATTGGTTTGATGATGCCGACAAACTCACCTCTCTCTTTCCTTGGAGTCTCCTGACAGTTCTGTTTCCATCAAAGTTTCATTTGCACAGCTGGCATTACCTGGAAGATCAACCAGCTTGGTGACCTCTACTTCAGGTAAAACTTCCTGCTTTCTCTTACCATCATCATCAGGTGGCTGCTGGATCTCCTGTGCAGGTAAGACCTGGTGTGGTCGAACATTCGGCGATGAGGACTCAAATCCTGCATTTATAGAAGGAGTCTTGGGTTTGGGGGTAACAGATCCACCAGTCTTAGCCGCAACAGGCTTGATGTTTGGTTTAATTACAAGTCGATGTCGCCTGGTTGCCATGTTGTCTGTCGGTCACACTCAGAGATGTGATCAACTTGCACAGAAAAAACCAGCTGTTATCTCATGTTTACACACAAAAGTATCAATCTGAAAGAACAAAAATACACAGGCATAAGTTAGAAAATAAATAGGAAGTGATAACGTCAACGCCACCAGAACTGCATGACAAGTGATAAACTCCCGGTGACACTAAGTGTCACTATTTAGATGAGAATCCCCCAGGCACAAGTGTTAGAAACCCTGTTCAACTGTTATGTAAAATTAGAGCTCCCCCCTCCCCCCTGCTATAGCCTGGGTGCTTTCTTAATATCCTAACCTAAACAGGGGAAATCCACACGTCACTGGACAGTCAAATATTTCAGGGTGTGGCAGGTGGGCTGCATGCAGTCCTGGGACCTATGCTGCGATCTCTTGTGGGGCCTAGGTGGATTGGCGTTAGGGCCACTTCTAGATGTTTTGAGTTCTTTAAAAGCATCAGAAAGCCAGAAAACACAGCCTTACCACCCTAAAAAAAAATGTTGGACTGTCCTGTGACGTCATCTGGGGTAGGATTTTACAAAAGAGCCATAGCCTGGAGTGGGCATTTAAAAAATAAAACAAAAACTGCCTCCCATTCTGGGATTGGTTTGTAATTAAATAAGAAGTTTTGCCTTCTTCTTCAGCTTTCTAAGCCTTCACTGTTCATTGCTGCAGATATCACCTGGCTGGATTAACCTCTATGATTGGTCATCTCTTTCCAGTTGGTGATTCCAAATGTTTGTAGGTCTGGATGTTATCCGCCCACCATCTTCTTGGTCTGTGGCCACTTAGTTTCCGTGTGTACAAAGTTTTTAGCCAGTCATCTGCCACTCTCCGTATGCCCCAGCCATGCAGAGGAGTATTGCCTTATCAGATATTATTAAAATTAACAGGCAGCTTGGAAGAGCAGCTGGCCAAATAGCAAGAATCAGTCAGTAGCATGTCCTTTGCAGAACCTTGCTCCCCTGATAACCCTAACAAAAAATTCTCGGATCACAAGCAAGATGTCCCGCATCTGATACACCTATCTGGAGATCATCCACCACATCCTGCACCTATTTTCTCTTTGGCCTTCCTCTCTTCCCCAGTCATATACCCCCCCCCCCCCCCCCCCTACTGTTTTCTCTAAACTTTAATGATGTTTCAAGTGACCAAGATATTTTAGTTTTCTGTGTTTTATCGTGTGGCAAGAATGCTGGGTTTTTATGCAACAGATGTGAGTTTCAATCCGTAGCAAGGTGATATAAATTTATTGTCTGGGGTAAGACCCACACACAAAACAACCATCAAGTCCTTAACTTTAGCAAATAATATTTATCAATGAACTTTGTAATCAACATATTTGTACTATTATTATTCTAGTATGTTATAATCATTATGTGCCAATATAAGTGGAGTAGATGATTATATTCCTCCCAAAAAAGACTAAATTTGTTTAATGGGTTTATGGGGAGAGAAAGGGGGGGGGGGGGGGGTGTTTTTGAACACGTCTGACCACTGACTGTCTTCAAAGCTGCGGTCAAACCAACCAACATTTCCGCAAACTATCCAACATTCTCATAGCTGTTATCTTTAAATTCGTCCAGCTGCTGCAGACTTTATTTTCACATTTAATAATTTATTATTATACTCTTTTAGGCTACCCTCCGAACTTCAGGCACTAAAGATGGCGGCCGTAAAATATCTTTCAGGAGATGCGGAAGCTGCTGCTCTTGGGTCCTAGCCATCTAGTTTAGCTCAAACCCACGCCGTGTAAGCGGCGCGGGGGGACTTGGTGCGCGCAGTCGCCGGAAAACCACCGGGGAGCCGCAAATTAAGTCGCTGGAAGTGCGCTATTGACACGTGACTCGAAAGGATATTTTGCTGCCGCCATCTTTAGTGCCCGAAGTTCGGAAGATAGCCCTCTTTTATTATATTTAAATTAAATAACATTCCAAAAAATGTGTTAGCACGCAGACTGGTTCCTCAAATATAATTCTTAGGCAAGATGATTTCCAAATAAAAACCCTTAATTAATTAGTCAGCTTTAACTACATGCTTGTTTGTGGAACTGCGGGCAGTGGGGTGGGTCTATTCTTTCTTCTACTTCTTCCACTACTACAATGGTTAGCCCTATTTCCGTAAACGTAATACTAATAACAAGTCAACAGTACTGAGTACTGAATTGTGTAACTGTATATTAACTGTATAACAAATGCAAATGATTTTTTAAAAATTCAATCCTTCAAAATAAATAATTAATTAAATATTTTAAGTGTCGTTATTACTAATATTAGTCATTTAAAATTGTGGCTCTCCTCTGAACGGCGTCATAATATTATGGCGGCCATAAAATATCCATACGGGGCTCAGTTCTATTAAAAATATGCCGGCTCCGTATAACGAAACAAATGCTCTAACAGGGTCTCAGCCATATGTTTCTTGCGGACCTGTTTCTGTGACTCACCGCCGACCGTATCCCCCGCGCGGCGCGGATGGGGGCTAAACTAGATGGCTGGGACTAACGAGCAGCAGCTACCGCATCTCCTGCAACTTCCTCCAACTAATTTGCTCGTGAGTCCCAAGCACCTAGTTTATTCCACACCCACGCAGCGCCGCGGGGGATACGCTCGGCGGTAAGTTTAATCGTGGTTTGCACATGCCGAAAAGTGTGAGGATGCAGGTCGGCAGGTCTGACATCTACTGCTGCTAAATCCTCAATCGGACGAACAGTATTGCTAATTTGTGTAGGAGAGCGTGGTCTACCTGCCATATCGCTTTCATCGTCTGCAGAAACGTTTGAAATTGTCAACGGTCAGTATATATCGTCTGCTACTACCGTGTGCAATGTTGACATTGTCAATCAAGTAATCCTAGTTTTGCCGCGATTTGTTCCTTGGCAGAAAGTCCGTATTTTAAATATACCTGAGCCCCGTACAGATATTTCTGGATATTTTATGGCCGCCATGATATTATGACGCCGTTCGGAGGAGAGCCTAAATTTTAGTTACTGAATTTAAACTTACTGACATAACGGCTCTCCTCCGAGCTTCTACCCCCTGAAATATCCGTTCAGGGAGCAGTCCAATTAAAAATACGGACTTCTCGGAGTTCCCGCCGAGGAACAAATTGCGGCAAAACTAGGAGTACCTTACAATGTCACGAGACGCAACATTCCAGATGATAGTAGCAGACGATAAAAGCAACCGGTGACAATGTTGAGCGTTTTCTGCAGACGATAAAAGCGACCGTTGACAATTTCGAGACATTACAGACGATGAAAGCGATATGGCTGGTAGACCACGTGCTCCCACGCAGATTAGCAATACTGTTCTTCTGACTGAGGATTTAGCAGTGGTAGATGATGTCAGACTTGTCGGCATGCGCAAAACGCGATTAAAGTAACCGCCGAGCGTATTACCCGTGCCGCTACACAGATGGGGGGCTAAACTATGTGCCTGGGACTCATGAGCAAAGTAATTGGAGGAAGTTGCAGGAGATGCGGTAGCTGCCGCTCGTAAGTCCCAGCCATCTACTTTCGCCCCTATCTGCGCGTAGCGGTGCGGGGGATACAGTCGGCGGTGAGGCATGGTCACAGAAACAGGTCCGCAAGTAACATATCGCTGACAGTCTGTTAGAGCATGTTTCGTTTTTCCGAGCCGATCCTAGATTTTCCACGATTTGTTCGTCGGTAGAAAGTCCGACACTACTACTACTATAGTCTCTGCAATGTTGCGTCTCTTAGAATTGTCAGGTAATCAGAAAGAATAAGAAACAGGTTCGCAAGTAACATATCGCTGAGACCCTGTTAGAGCACTTGTTTCGTTATACGGAGCCGGCATATTTTTAATTAGACTGCGCCCCGAACGGATATTTCAGGCCGCAATACTGACTGCGGAGTTCGGAGATATTCATTTCATTTATTGACTTTGCTTTTTTTGACAACTAAGTTGCTAATTAAAACTTTTACCTGAAGTTCACGCCATCAGTTACGTGTATTTCAACCGATCTAATAAATGATAACGTACTGGTTTCGTACTGGTTGCGTGAGGTGTCCACTGATATCCAAGTTCACATGATCTTTCCACAACTGAACTTTCGTAACCTCCTATCGGTAACTGGTAAACATGCTTTTTGATGGTGAGATATCTGTCACAATAAACAACTACCCCTTGAAGTAGTTGAAGCGTTTTGTTTCAGAATAAAGACTCAGTATCTAATCTCCTGGTGCCAAAGAATCACATTCAAGCAACGAATATTCCAAGAACAGACTGACAAAACGTCAACAGTCTATATAAAATTAAGCTGGTACCCGAGAAGCGGCAGGACTAAACTAAACACTCCCTGCGGGCAGGGCTGCCAATGGGATTTTTTTGAAAAACCCAGCTTTTTTCAACAAAAACCCAAGCAATACATAGACAAAAAAACAAGAAAACAAAATAAAAAACCCAGATTGTTAAAAATGTACAAAATTTATAGTTACGAAACGAAAAATTTACAACTTTTATATAAGGATATATTTTAAAAAAAAAACCCAGATTTCCCTGAGGCGTCAAATAAAAACCCAGATCTGGGGGAAAACCCAAGCATTGGCAGCCCTGCCTGCGGGACATGCGGAAAACACAAACATCGTATATTTAATTATTCGTACTTTTCATTCTTCGATATATTCTTGTTTAATTTGATTTGGGACCCAGTGGTTCAACATTAATTTATTCAGGTAGAGAAGATGGGAAACTTATATTAGGGGTTGATATAAGGTATAAGGATGTCACCTCAAGTTGCAAAAGTATGTTGGAGTGGAAACCTATTTCAAGTCGGATGATCAGCGTCCGATTCAATATCAGACGTGTCAAAATGACAATACTGCAGTAACATGACAATGGAAATAGCCGCTGCTTCTAGAGCTTTAGCGTGGGTATCCGAGCAAACCGCCACACGGGCAGTAATTGTCTCAGACTCAATGAATATGCTTCAGAAGATAGCAACAGGCAGTATGCGCT